CGCCCTCAAAAACCGACTTATCTATATCTTAGAATTATGTTTGTCTTTATGCATACACGCGATATCCTTGAGCCTCAGCCTGTTTTGTTGGTTTTGTTGCTTGCACCGCCGCAACTAATGAGCTTTAGCTAGGGAGGATGAGCGTGGATTAATGGTAGATTTGTAGAGATGTAATAAGAACGGGGTCACGGAATTGTTAAGGTCTGCTCTGGCACCGTGCTAAACCCCTCCGAAAAGTGTTCGCTGTTTATTAGATTGGCCTCCGTAAGACGTGGCGCTAGTATCGCTTGCTAGGTGGCTTTCTGTAAGGGTTAGTTGTTGGGATTCACTTAATTGTAGCTGCACGTTTGAAATTTGAAATAAGAGATTTTCTTATGCACAAAAGGCGAAGGAACTAAGTAAACTTGTAGGTTTGGTTATATTACGTTTGAGACTAAGCTTTGACAAAATGCATTTTCGGTTATTTCAAAAGTTTTAGACAAAATTAATTTCACTCTTTTTTTGATTTCATACACAGGGTCCGGCAATAGTGCGTGTAGCTTCTAGAATAAAACACTTGGAAATTTTGTTTAAGTGCAAACCTAAAGTATGTACTAGGATGTATTCCAGGAAAATATTGTAACTTCTATAGGGTGGCTCCAAAAGGTGTGAGTTGATTGGGATATTTTCTTCTTAAATGGGACACCCTGTATTTTATTGCATTTTTGACTTCCTTTCAGATCACTTTACATAATCCTAGGATATGAGTAAATATATTTAGATAGTTTCAGAGATATTAATTAATAAATAAAAAATATACAGGGTTGTTCACCACATACGACACGGAGTATTGTAGCTAAACGATGAGATTTTTACAAATTGTAAGTTTTGGGTTCGATGAAGGACTATTAGAGGTACAATTTAAAAATAATTTTACAAGATACAGAGTGTCCCAAATAAGTAAAAAATATCAAAGTTGTATTTTTTTAAATGGAACACCTAGTATATTATTACATTTTTTAGTTTCTATTGATTAAAATAAAGGTAAATTTGATTAAGGTTTATTATACTTAAACCTTACCGTTTTTGAAATATTTTCAATTTTGTGAAACTGCAGTAAAATTTTTAAGGCTTCATTTCTCCAAGGGTATCAAAGTTTTTAATACTAAATATTTACTAAAGTTTATTTACTGATCAGTTATTGTGTTGCAATAATAAAAATAATACTATTTTATACAGAGTGTCTAAAAATTTATTTTAAATAGTTATTAGCTTCAAACGGCAATAACTTGTTTAATTTAAATGGAATACCCTGTATATTTTACGAGAATCAGATGCACAATTTAATTGTCTATCAAATTATATTATACCATTTTTTACCTATCTCTTTAAGTTTCCGTAGAAAATGCATTTTCTTGTAATTTAGAACTTATTTATCAATATACCCATGGACTATTGACATTTTAGATTATTTTTAAAGATGTACCAAATTTTTAAAGAGTACAGATACTAATATTGTCGATATAATTCATTTATTTCATTAAAAAATAAACAAAAACTGTTTAAATATTTGTTAAAGAGGATCAATTAATATGATTCCAGTATTCAAACTACATTAACTGACTGTTTGCGTTGATTAATAATAATTGCTCCAAATACTAAAAAACTGAATTTTGTATGGGCATTAGACAGTGTGATAAAAAGTAACACCTTAAAAATGATATTTCATTTTTTAATAAATACTTATTTATAACAACAGAGACTAATTTGATAACTTATTATTACATTGATTTCTGACTCAAATCCACATTTATTTATAATAATTTATTAACGAACACAATTAAGTATGTAATTAATTAGTATATGGGCGGAAATAATGGTGTTATATTTAATTAATGGTATACTCTTTTATAAAGATTTAAATAGTTTTCTTTTTGCATACAAATGGGCTAGTAATATTATCGTTTTGCTAAAAACGATAATATTACTAGTCTGTACATTTTGTACATTTGTTGCTTTAAAAACAATCTAAAATCTCAATATTCCATGGATATATTGATAAATGAGGTCTAAATTATAAGAAAATGCATTTTCTACGAAAACTTGAAGGGATAGGTAAAAGTGGTATAATACAATTTGATAGACAATTTAATTGTGCATCTGATTCTCCAAAATATACAGGGCATTCTATTTAAATTAAAGGAGTTATTGCCGTTTAAAGCTAATAATTATTTAAAATAAATTTCAGACACTCTGTATAAGGTAGTATTATTTTATTATTGCAACACAATAACTGATCAATAAATAAACTTCATTAAATATTTAGTATTAAAACATTGATAATCTTTGGAGGAATGAAGCTTTAAAATTTTACTGCAATTTCACAAAATTGAAAATATTTCAAAACGGTAAGGTTTAAGTATACATAAACCCTGTGTATTTAATCAAATTTACCTTTTATTTTAATCGTAGAAACTAAAATGTAATAATATACAGGGTGTTCCATTTAAAAAATACAACTTGATATTTTTTATTTATTTGGGACACTCTGTATCTTGTAAAAATATTTTTAAATTGTAGCTCTAATAGTCATTCAACGAACCCCAAACTTACAATTTGTAAAAATCTCTTCGTTTAGCTACAATACTCCGTGTCGCATGTGGTAAACAACCCTGTATATTAAAATTGTTATAAATGCAAGAACTCTCCTGAAATCAAAACTATATTAGGTATTTGCTTTAGATGGTCTGTACTTACTTTATTATTAATATGGTAATCGTAAATCATACAGGATGTTCAAAATTCTACGCCAAAAAATACATTTCTAAAATATGAAATAATTTTTATTCGTTATTTTAAATGGAACACCCCATATATTGAGGGATATTTAGGATTATGTAAAGTGATCTGAAAGGAAGCCAAAAATGCAATAATATACAGAGTGTTCCGTTTGCACTTAAAAATAATTTTTAAGTTTTTTATTCTAGGAACTATAGATGTATAGTAAAATTATCATTTCTTTATGTTCATTTTTTCTATTCTCTCAAAATTCCAATTCTTTATTATAATTATTAGAATGTTCGATATTTGCTGAAGCAAGGATATATAGAATAAGGATATTCGACTGGCCCAAAAAAAACGTGCCGTATTTTGTCGAGGAAGTCGATTTCGTCACGACCAATGGGCGTCGAGTATTTGAAATTGAAAACATATAAATTGACGGTAACTTATGTTTTTTGACTCATTTCACTGACAAATGCAGACAAATGTGATGAGATTGTTATTGTAATTTATAGATCCAAACGTTTTCTGAATAAATAATTTATTTTAAAGTTATTTCCTAGAGGTTTGGTTTGGCCTTCTATATTCTGGTATTTGTCTACTAATAAATAATATCTTATTTTGTATTTCTAATATGGAAATCCGCAAGTTTTGTATCTGAAGCCGCAAAGAAATTTCGCTCTATAGTGAGAAAAATGTTATATGTTTTTAGACGCGTAGAATAACAAAATTTCTTATTTCAGATGTTCTAAATGTGAGTGCTTAATGTCAAAAATTAAAATATATAGTTGAAATATTGGTTGAAATATTTCAAGTTATACCCTTTGCCCTTTGGAAGTAAACAAATATTGAAGAAAGTGTTGTGCCTTCACAGAATTTAAATTGGCATTAGGAATAGATTTCCTTGATTTAGTAATGATATTGCTCATAGAAATTGATAATATACTATTTTATATTCACTCTTTCAAGTGCTGATCTATTTTTAAATTGAATATTTATGTAAGTATTATGTAGGTATAACACAATATAAATAATTTAAGGACATAAGAAATTAAAATTTCAAGTGCCAATATTGATTATTTTTCCAGTTTTATTCAAATATATTGAAATTAATATGGAAACAAAAGTTCATAAATATTATTCTTAATAACAAGAATTGAGATTTGGGGATAAGTTTGAAAAGTCATGTCAGAAGAGTAGGATTAAAGACAAAGTATTAAGGTAACATATATTTGCATAAAGTTTTAATAACACTGACAATTTTATTTGTTTATGTTTATTAATTAAAATTTAGTTGCAATTTATTTCATATTCTAATATTTTTGAGAAAATTTTACTTATATACATACCTGAATATTATGCTGCTTTTTATTTTAAAAGTGTGCCGACTGTGCTGTTATATTTATACTAGTAATATTGTATACTGTAGGTATCGTATTCATATATAGTTATATATATCAGTAGTATAGATACTTACTTTCTTTCTATGCGTACTTATATCCTTTATAGTCTTTCTAAGTGCATATAATACTACTTTTTTTAAGAGAAGGCAGTTTTTTAATAATCTATTAATTCCCCTAATTCTGTGTCCCCTGGTTCTGCTATACAACAATTATATATTTTTTTTATCATTACTGATTTTAAAAGTTTCTTTTCAAAGAACTTGACCATATATTTTTTTCCAGAGTAATTGGGTTGTTCCTGAACAATATTGAATATAAATATTCAAAATATGATTGATAACTGCATATCCTACTAAGTAGATCAATACCAAAATCCCATTAGAGAAATAAGTTAAAATTATGTTTTACTTGTATAATTTTCTTGCTATTTGTCCACCATTATTTGTGACTTAGAAATTAAATAGTCAAAAAAAGAATATAGTACCAGTTTTTATTTCCCAAAAAATAATTATTAAATAATTACATATTGCTTAAGATACAGTATATTATATTGTGTTTATAGTTGATAATTCTAGTTCTTAGTTGTTTATAGTTGATAATTAACAATATTTCTGATGTTAGATATTATATTTGATAAAAATTTAATTACCAATAGCTACCTACCTATGTAGCTGCAGATTATATATTGTGTAGTAGGTACTGAATAATTCTTTAGTTCAAGAAACAAATATCAGTACAAGTATATAACCAAAAAATGTTGATGCAAATACTTTGTATAACATACGTACCCCTATGGTATTCAACTTTTCATTGTTCTTTTAATTAGATACACAATAAGCACATTAATTCGTTTATTAAACAACCAAAACTAACTACTTAAATTCACAATAAATGTATAAGCTTTGATCAATTCCTATTATTAATACCTGACGACTTCATACTTTATAACTACCAATGGCTATCCTACTAACACACTAGCCAACTAATAATAAATCTGTTCTAAAAAAATACAACATAAAGACATCGTTATTGCAATAATATAGAAACATATTCCATGTATCATTAACTACCTATAAATACAATACCCACATCTTCTTTTACGCGAATAGTGCGTTAGGAGGCAGAAATATTGCCTGCATTGTACATCGTACAAATTGGCTAGAATTTATTAATATCCATTGCAAACATTTCTCTTTCAAAGGGTCTAAATGTTGTGTCTTTTTACTGTGTCCCTGTAATATGTTATCAATTAACAACAGTTATCAAATATGACCTGGACAATAATAATTGTTTTACCTTTTTTTCAAACAAACTATATAAATAAAATTTATCTCATAACCTAACTTACTGTTAGAATTTCTTTCTGGTTATTCTATGTTCCTGTATTGTTATTCTTCGCATTATCAATTTCTATGAGCAATATTATTACTAAATCAAGGAAATCTATTCCTAATGCCAATTTAAATTCTGTGAAGGCACAACACTTTCTTCAATATTTGTTTACTTCCCAAAATGTCAGCATATAACTTGAAATAATATTTCAAGTATATATTTATATATTTTGACATGCACTCACATTTAGAACATCTGAAATAAGAAATTTTGTAATTCTACACGTCTAAAAAGATATAATAACATTTTTCTCAATTATAGAGCGAAATTTCTTTGCGGCTTCAGATACAAAACTTGCGGATTTCCATACATCGAAATACAAAATAAGATATTATTTATTAGTAGACAAATACCAGAATATAGAAGGCCAAACCAAACTCTAGGAAATAACTATAAAAATACATTATTTTTCAAAAACGTTTGGATCTATAAATTACACATAATAATCTCATCACATCTGTCAGTGAAATGAGTCAAAAAACATAGGTTACCGTCAATTTATATGTTTTCAATTTCAAATACTCGACGCTCATTGGTCGTGACGAAATCGTCTTCCTCGACAAAATACGGCATATTTTCCAACATAGCCCGCTATAGGGAGTTGAATATCCTTCTTCTATATATCCTTGTGCTGAAGATATTAATTTGGACAACAAGTCATTTTCCTCACTTACTACTTTTTAATTATTTAAAAATTAATTAAAGAATACTGAAATAGTTAACGGAAAATTGAAAATGCCTTTTTGAAATATATACAGGGTGAGTTTTATATAAGTGCAAATATTTTCAGGGCTGGTAGATCTCGATAAAAAATACATATTTTCTCTTTACCGTTTTTCAAATAAATCTAAAACAACCAAGATATTTTACTTTCCAAAATAAAAATGATTTTTCGCTAAAATTTTGAGAACCACTGGATCTTTTCTGGATATTCTTTCTTGTAAATTTAATCTACTACCTATGTTGCCATATTATCAACAAATTATATTTTTTAACTAAAAACCTCGCGAAAAACTAAAAAAATTACCAAAAAAATTTTGGCAAAAAAACCTCATAATCGTGTTTCTGGGGTCGAAATATACTACCCCTAAAAATATTTGCACTTATTTAAGACTCACCCGGTATAACCATAATATAAATCATAATATATCAAGTCAGATAGTTAAAGTCGTCAAGATTGAAGACTATAAAGTGCAATTCATTATAATTCTTGGTACGCTTATTTTCCTAGGACTTTTAAACACAATATTTTATTTTACGACCAAACGTGATATTTGATCTCCGAAAACTCGTAAATAAAAATTTACGTTGCCGTGACTTTATTGACTAAATTTATACTCCCCCAAGTTCCAAGTGAAACGTCTGAAATGCCTTTCTCGTTCATTCAATTCGACTAAAAAGTAGCCGTAAATCATTAAAGGAAAGCGTTTCCCCAGCAGAATGCGTCGACATTCCTTATTTTGCATTTGATGTGACAGAGAACGGGCCATTTTTCTTCCGAAATTGTTTTGAATAATAGAAAACGATGGAAATTTCCAGCTTACTGAATAATAAAAAACTTTTTTAGATATTTAAGAAATAAAGAGATTACATTTTTTATCATATGTTCAAGTTATTTAGACGTATAAATATAGATAAATAAAAAAATGACAGGTGATGCGCATAGGTATACTAATGTCATGTACTAGAGATAAATGGGACACTGATATAAAACAAATAGATTCGTCATTTAGAGCACCCTGGTGATCAGGAAGAAACTAATGGAGAGTTTTGGCATAACATAATTTTGGCGTTCCGTTACTTATTAACATTACTTACAACCAAACTAAAACGGTAACGTTATTCAAGCCTAAATTATAATCAATATAGACTTTTTACTACCATTTTATGTTTTATTAGATCATTAGAAGCGTAACAGTCAAAACAAAAGTAAAATTATGAAAACATACATTTTAAACAGCAACCATTAAGCAAATAGCGCATATTTTTTGTTTTTACTAATAAATTATAATATAGTAAAAATATTATAGACTATTTATTAACTGTTACTAAAAATACTATACCGGGTGCATCTCAAAAGTGGCTCAAGTCTATAACTTTTTATTTTTTTCTCAGATAGAATAGAAAAAGATAAAATAGAACAGAGAAAGAAATCGAGATTTCGTATGTTAGTATATGACATAAATTAGGATTGATTGACTCAATTGTTTTTGGTCACTTCTTGTTTCTCCGGAAATTACAACAACTTTTGATTTTTAAATGGCACCCTCGGTATTTTGTTACTTTATTCGATAGAAAATGACACTCTGTATAGAATGACATATCGTATGTCAACTTTTGACATCTTTGAGTATGGTTTATTTGAAATTACAACATGCGATTTATAACGACAATTTGACTCGAAATATCAAGTGTGTGATACCGAATTATTCGTAAAAAAATGCTTTTTTTCAAATATGCTAATGAGCCACCCTCGTTCCATTTGAAAACATTGAGATATGAGTAAAAATACGATTTTGGTAGGCAAGTCACGGCAAGGCAAGTCACTAAAAACATTAGACGATCAAATCTATTTTTTAAAGGCTCCTTGATTAAAATTTAATGTTTTTATCACAGCCATGACACTCTAGATTGAAATTTAAAATTCAATTTTGTTTCAAGCGAAAATGTCAAAAGTTGACATACCGTGCTGGCAACTGTTACTTTTGGGTCGGCATTTACATGTGTGGAAGTAAATCGCATAGGGATCTTATTAAGTCGGAGTGAGAGAAATGCGACCGACCGAGGCGACGCGCGACGGTGTGCTGTTGCGGCGTTGCCGATACGCCTTTCCCTATCAAGTAAAGTAAAATCACGATCGCAAACCGCTTATTTTTTAAAAAGACTTTTTTTAAAAGACTTTTTTAAAAGACTTATTCTTTTTAAAAGACTTTTTTCAAGATATAACTAGATAAAATCATTAGACATGTTTCTGAGCATCTGAAATGGAATTATAAGGATATCGTTAGGGTGTCATTTTTTTTTAACGAGAAAACGTCAGTAATCGCGATAATTTAAAAACTCAACTTTTTAACACATAACAGGCCATAACTCAAGAACCACTTTAGATATTGAAACTTTTTTTTATTTTCAAGATCGGATATTTTACAATATGTTTACATAAGAAAAATTCGATAAGGTTGTTTTTTCCATTTAAAAATTGTAAACAATCCATCTATTTACTTTTAGAGCATAGCAATTTTCAGCAATCGTGTAATTTTTTTATTGATAAAGATTTTCACATACTGTCTACAAAGAAAATACAGCAGAAATATTAACAACGTTCTTGAAAAAACTACAATCTATTATTTCTAATAGATTTCGAGATATTGATTTTTGAATCCAGAGTTCTAATAGCGCGACCACTATCGAACACCCACTCAATTCCACTTATTTTTTACCAAAAATGCAAGTGTTTTTAGCTTGCACTTAAAAAAATTCAAGCTATAGGGAAAATTACAACGACTCGTTAATAAATAAACAAATTAAGTATCACGAGACGTAATTAAATCGTGAAGCTGAACGCATGACGTACACCTTTCCCTAGAACTTTAAGTACTGACAGAGGTATTGCTTGGGTCGACCGGTCAACTGCGACAAATCTGCTATATCCCCTTCCACGTCTCTTAGCGATGTGCACAGTTTCTCGGTTTATTTCATACGTTTGGCAACGTGTTTACTGTCCTCTCTTTGTTCAGTACATTATAAACGCCTTGTACTCTTCTTACATACGGAAATCGCGACCCAAGACTAACCTTTGCCAGCCCTTAGTATATGTTATTCTATTCAAAGTGTCATGTTCCATCGAATAAAGTAAAAAAATACCTACAGTGTTATTTAAATATCAGAAGTTGTAGCCATTTCCGGTGAAACAGGAAGTGGCCGAAAAGGATATAATACATGAATAAATTCTAATTTATGTCAAATACTAACATACAAATCTCGTTTTTATCTGAAAAAATAAGAAAGTTATGGGGGTGAGCAACTTTTGAGGGGCGCCCGGTATATTACCAACTATGTACTTACTTATTTATAATTAAACTATTTTTTATTTAGTTCATAAATTTATTATTTCTAAAATGTCAAAATGTTTTTAATAAAAAAGTTTAGTATCTAACAAGAAAATAATGATCGACTGTAAATATCAAAATGGCCAAACTTATAAAAACACAAACTATAAACACAAATCACCGAACTTTCCGACAAATCAGAAATATCTGAATTAATAATTATTTAAAATAACTTGATGGGTCACCAATATTTTGTCAACTAGACCAAAACTAGACCATGGACGGTAGTTAACATAGAGACTGTCGTGTCATCTTTTAAAAATTAGAAACAGGGTGTCCCACTAAGAATAGCTCTCGGCTGTATCTCGGAAAGTATTAGCCGTAGCGGCTGCGGAAAAAATATTTGTAACTAAAGAGGCTATGGCAAATTGCTGGAAATTATTTGCAAGTTTGTAGAACGACTACTAGGGGGCGCTTTTACAACAAAAAATAAGAAAATGGAGTTTTTATACAATTTTGCCTAGATAAAGTGTACTACAGGTAACAGTTTCATAATCTTCAGTAAATTTTGAATATTTTTTGTTAGAGCCATTTTTTCCTATCTACCAAAATAAAGTGGTGGGGGAAGGTTAGATCTGTTTTTATTTGAATATTAATAACTCTGGACTGGATGATCGGAATCCAAGAAACGAGGGCTTGTTTAAAAGAGCGTTTCTTACTCTATATTATACCGTAAAAATAATAATAATAAGGTTTTGAACGTAGACGCTAGGGGGCGTTGTCTTACAATTTAACAAACATTGCGCGTTTTTTCAAAAAAATTAAATGCAATAGTATATGTAATTTTAGCTGACAGTAAAGA